TGTCTTATTGAACGTGTATTGTTATATATATGTGAAAATCTCCCATTCTTTCATTCAAAATTTGTGCCTTACGTGAGACTCACGAACATTTTATGACCACGAAAGATCACAAAGATTAATAGTTAGTTTCTAGTTTCTCATCTGTATATCTTATAGTCAAAGTAAACAGTGTTTTACTCCATTACAGTCAATAATTTATCTCTTTTATACGTCCATTATGAAGCCCATTTGGTTTAAGAACTTTGTTACGTATTACAATTTCGAATGGTCTGAAACCTAGCTAAATGGTAATTTAAATCTAGTAGTTAAATTAACCGATATGTCTCCAGTTTATGATATTTGTCAACAAGACTGAAAGAAAGTTTTCTTTTTTTTAATATAAATATATTTTAATGCACAAACAATAATACAATTTACAGTAACAGTTATTACAAACAATGATTTATATACAAAAGTTTTACAAACTTACAAACAATATAAAGTCTTCTTTCTAGACTGGAACTTCCTTGATGTCTTATCCAGGGTTCACGATGAGCGAGTTAATTTCGAGTTGATGTAGGTACAATTCACTTAATAGAGCGCTAGCTAGCTCTGTGATCTCCACAGATCACATACCGATTTTTCCTACCGGTGACGTTAGGTAATGTTTTCGTAAAAGTATTAATGTCCGATGTGAATTCACTGAAGTTGAATGATTTGTAATTTTCGAAACTGATAAACGTTCCTGGTCAATATATATGAAGTTCCCGATTAATAAGCGTTATAACAATTACAGCTATATCTTCCGAAGCACATCAACTATAACAAACCAGTAATATATATTGTTTTTTTATCGCGTCTGTCATATTTATAGGCATGTGGATAGTTTCTCGAAATTTCAGTTTTACGTAACAATACAGACGCTAACACTATCGTTTCCGTACACACATATATTGTTGATTCTTACACTCGAGAATCTACTATAACTTTAGAGAATAGGCGGGAGTTTCTCAATACACATTTAACAGTATAAGTTATGTACATTTCAAAATATAAATCTAATTTAAACAGACATCGATATTAAAATAAATGTATAATAATAAATCGGTCACAACTTTCTTTTAAGTTTCATATAAGTATCCGGGTGCTCTAACTGCTAGAGGACTTGGTTTCCATTGATTCTCACGCCAAAGTAAATATGTTGGATTGTTTTTTTCATTATTCCAAAAAAATTAATCCGTTTAATACACAAAAAGTGACATCAATTTCCTTTAGCCCTAATTATTTATTCTTCTTTGCATGTATTTTAGATTATTTGTACCAAATATTCAGTTTCATAAGTGTTATTCAATACATCGATTACGCCAAATGAAAATTTTACAAAATTAACCTTAACATAGCTCCTTTTGAGCAAGTACACTTATTTTCACATATATATATATATATTTCTTTATCCAATATCATATCAATATATTTATAAACCTATCCGATCAACAGAATCAAAGCTACCGATACGTTCTCGTGTGGTTTGTTTAAAGTTAAATACAAAGCTACACAATGGGCTAGCTGTGTATCGAAACCCAGTTTCTAGCATTTTAAGTCCGCAGACGTGCCGTTGTGCTATTGGGGGCTCTCATGTGGGAACAGTGAAGCCTATGACGTTTTTCTCATCCAACTTAGGTTGCTATAAATTTTATGCACATAAATAAAAGTAGTTTAAATTACTTTTTTATAAGGGAATCATGAAATTTCTAAATGTGTTTTGCTTAAATTATAAGAAAGGTGTTAATTAGCAACTTGGTAAGCCTAATTTTTCGACATTTTCGTAGAATTATACATTTAAAAACATTAATAAATTCATATAAAAACTTACGCAATGAAACGATTTTTATATATAATTAAAATTATATAATTAACTAATCTTAAGTGTAAGATATAAGCGCCTGGTAGCCAAAACAAGCGATGGAAACATTATCAGGAAAAAGTTTTGGAATTGATAATTACGGTACCAAACAATACAACATTTGCTACATTCGTTATTTGAAGGTCGTTATCTGAAACCATTACGAATCACAGAAAAACATATTTATATATTTATTGTTTAACGTTTGTGATAGAACTTTCTGCATTTGTGCCATTTCCACGATGTCTAATGCTGTAAAAACAAGAAGAACCTTATGTGATTAAAACTTACTGTAAGTAAAATGTAAAATATAATTTCATATTTCAATATGTTGCCGCACTTACAAAATCATATTTTTCTTTATACCTGAAAGTATGCTTTTGCAAAGAGAAAACAACAACATGCTATTATCTAGTTGATTTAGTTGGTGTAAAAAAAAGAAAAGAAAAAAAAAGAAGCGGAAGTTGTCCCTTTTTGTTAATTTACTTAGATAAACCACGTAGTAGTTCAAACCTTCGCTAACCTAATTTTCTTCCAAATGGAGAAAGGACCGATAGTTCAAAGATTAAATGCCTCTCGGTGGTTCAGCGGTAAGTTAACGGACTTACAACGCTAAAGTCTTGGATTAGATTCCCCGTGATGGACAGAGCGCAGATAGCCCATTGCGCTAAAATAACAACAACATCAATAACTAAATTTTAAGTTTTTCCAGAGAAAAAATACCGAATCAGTCTGTGTGCTTCTTAGCTTTTTTTTCTATCAAAGAATGAACATTTTTACCTCGATCTACTTGTACATTCCATATATAGAGCCTCTTGTAGTAAAAGTACACAACTCAAAACCGGTTACAGAAGAATTTTTATGGTTATCAAACTAGTTATTCAGCATTCATGACCTGCATAGATGATATCGACACAGAGGATAAATAGATGATATCGACACAGAATTTCCTTCAGTAGATAGTCAATGATTCACTATGCCCCGTTCACCATTACTGCATATATCATTGAAATTTATAAATGAAAACTAAAAATATACAAGTATGACAAACAAACAACTGTAAAATCATGAATAAGCATTTAATGCATATTTCTTTGTTAGAGCAAAGCCACATTGGGCTATTCGTTGCAAGAATAGCCAGCCTGCAACACCGTTTCCATAAGTGCTTTGTCAGACTCTTTGAACCGAAAAATAGGATTGACTGTCACTTTTATAACGTGTCCACAGCTGAAATTGTGAAATCTGTTCAGCGGCGTGACGTCTCGAATCTTGGGCTCTTTGATCCGTAGCCCGACATGTTTTCCATTAATCCACGTCAAGCCAAATGTATATATACGTATACGTATGCCTCGTCAGACATAAAGATTTCAAGATGTGAAACTTGCATTGCAGCTGGACAGTAAAAAGAGTTGTACTACTTCCTTCAACCAAATGGAGAACGAATTAATAAGAAATAGTTTTTATATAAGCTGAGTCATTTTCTTATTCGATTGACCTATTTTGTCTCTTGCTAGAACAATTTCAAAACTGGTTTTGATCTCAATATTATTAGTAAGATAGTTTCACGTGGCGTTAATAAGAATTTCTACGTCTTCTACATATACCTTTACCCTAAAATACGACGAAGATATATTTGACGTAAATGCACTAAATTCTTGTAATCATTTGTATTAGTGTTTCGTAATTGTTCAAGAAATTCCTTTATATATATTTACTTGACATCTCAAACGAAACTATAAAAGTATAACTATAAACAGTTATGTCTTAGTGTGTATATTTCTTGAATGTCTTGTAATTATCATGCCAAACGAGTTTTGACGCAATCGCTTGCAGGCCCTAACTAAATGACATATTTCTATGACGAGAGAACGTTAATATCGATTTTCTAAGTTATCTTATGTGCTTTGTTAATATATGTTCTGTAACTTCGAATAACTAAACATTTAAAACAAGCGAAAGATAAATTATTTTATTGTCGTTGTTGTTCTCTGTTTTAACTTCGAATAACTAAACATTTAAAACAAGCGAAAAATAAATTTGTTATTGTCGTTGTTGTTCTCTCTTTTAACTTCGAATCATGATAAAACATAGTAGGCCTAACCTAGTATAGATGCTTCCAAAAAGTTTCGATTTAGGGAGAAAATAATTCTAAATTAGGCTTACAATATAGTATTTTTGACTAAGGAGTAAAATTGTACTTCGCGTACGAAACATTAACGGGTTGTAGTATTTTGTATTTAAATGAGCACACTTTATAAAATGCAAAGGCAGTGCTGTGCATTTACAGTAATAAAACAGTTAAGTATCCTGCCTAGACTATCACGTATAAGGTAAGGAACGTAGAGTTCTGAATGAAGCTGATGGTCGTGTAGAGTGTCTCAATGACTGCGAGGTTAAACCTATTCCATAACACATGTTACTCACCAAACACCTCAAGTACAAAAGACACTTTGAGCTGAATAGTATGATCAAAAACCGATCGACTTATCTAGTAAGGATTACCACATCTATTGACTTATCTAGTAAGGGTTACCACATCTATTGACTTATTTAGTAAGGATTACCACATCTATTGACGCCTTCAAAACCTGGGTGTCGGGAGCAAGCTCAACAGTACTCTAACTGTCTATAAACATATGAAGAAATCCACACGTAAACACTGCTGTCTGAGATGAGGCTCTGAAGATGACTGATCCATAACCTAAATACCTTTCCCTTTGCAAAGCATAAGACGGTTTACTCTCATCCCTCCCTTACGCACATGGTAATGTCATTAGTACTTCCCTACTCCTAATTTCATTTTTGCATTGTCTATTGAAGTTTTAAAAGCTTCTCACACACACACGTTAGTCTTTTGTTTATATACATGTCGAATTAAGCGTATTATATTTTAATTTTGAGAAACAAGGGCTCCACAAACTATTAACCACTACTGAATAAAATTGATAAGTTGGGAGAGAGCGTTGTAAGCACACAAAATTATCGCTGAGTCACTGGGTGGGGAAGAGATCAGTTAAAAAAAAAAAAAAACATGGAGAAAGAGGTACGAAATTTAGGATCTGTAAAATAAACTAACTTGACTTCAATACATAATTAATTATAAAGGTCAACGACCTACCTGACATTTATGAGGAACGCTGGAGTAATAACCATCGTGACGACCATCACAGTTGAAGTCGATATCTTCTGGTAGAGTAATAAAGAATGGATAATTGTTCAAATCCACACCATTCAGTTCTCGAGGAAGGTTAGGGTCCGACAAGTAGTCAATATACCTACCATCTTCACGAGGCGGATAGTGTCGGCGAGGTTTAGTGGTGGTTGGCGGAAGTGTAGTGGTAGTGGTGGTCGGTGCTTCCGTTTTGGCCACAACTGGTACTGGGACATTTCTTGGACCCTCTGGAATAGCAGGTCTTTTCCGAAATACTGGTCGACGGAATCTGCCAGGCCCACGTCCTCGACGAAACGGTCGTCGTCTTCTTAATAAAGGACGGGGACGAGGTGTCGTAGTTGTTGTGGTTGTAGTCGTCGTCCTTAAATAGTAGTCTGGATAGTAATCATAATAGTCGTCATAATAATAGTCACTAGGCTCTTCCGTAGTTGTTGTCAGCTGTGGACTTTCAGGGTTAATTTTAACCCTCCCTGGTGATCTAAAGGCTGGACGAGATCGCCTTTGAAAAGCCTGTCTCTTTTCCTGTAACCAAGTAAACGCAGATATCAATGTAAATCTATAAATGTTTTCAAAACGATTACTGTTTAAAAATAAAAAGTTTACCTTTCTTTAATGCATTGTATAGCAATTGTTTTCAGCGTTAACCAACTTATTATGTTTACATTCTTCAGTATTTTTAAAGATGGATTATAGCCAAACAACTGACCCAAAATTAAGTACCTAAGCTTTTTTTATACACTTATTAAACAATATTAATATACTAATTCCTTGAATATTACCCACGTATTAGTTGAATTCACATTTCAAAGGTCTATTATAATGTTAGAATACAATAAGTGACAACTTTCACGAAGGTTTCAATTTATCTAGATACGATATTGTTATTTCAAATTATTATTTAAATAAAGTATTGTTGTTTTAATTCGTTATCTAGATAAGCGGTTATTATTAATAGTATCCTTGTTAGGGTTTTTAACGATAACATATAGAAAATTTGATTTTTTAATAAGTATTGAAAGTAAGAATATTCTTTGAATACAAAGAGTTGTTTGTTTGTGTGTTTGAGGTTATGCACAATGCTACACAATGGGCTATCTGTGCTCTGCCCACCACGGGTATCGAAACTCGGTTTCTAGCGTTGTAAGTCCGCAGACATAGCGCTGTACCACTGGGGGCCAAAGAGTGGTTATTTAAATTACCACTGACAAAAAGGGGCTACTATTATAAATTATTTGAACACGATGTAAAGATGTTTTAGACACTATGGATTTATATTGTTGTTATAAGTGTTACTTTTATATAAGATGGTTTGTGAAACTCAGACCTAAATAGTTTGTTTGTTCTTAAGCTCACAACTGGCTCTCTGTGCTGTGACCAACACAGGTATCAAAACCTGAATTTTAGCGTAATAAACCTCCAGATTTACCGCTCAGCCACTGGAGGGGGGTCCTAATAATTTTGTTTGTTTGTGAAATTTCGCGTAAAGCTAATCTAAGACTCTCTGCGCTAGCCATTCTTAGCTTGGAAGAGACAGATTATCGAGAAGGCAGCTAGTCAACACTACACTCCGTCAACTCTTGGGCTACTCTAATTAAGTAGTGGGAATGACCGTCACATTATAACGCCCCCACGATTGTATGGATAAGCATGTTCAATTATTGGATTCGAAACTGCGACCTACAGATTCCAAGTCGAGCACCTTTACTACCAGGCTAAGCCAGGCAAAGAGTACCTTGTTTATTTTGTTAGCACAGTGTCACAGAATAAGCTATCTAAGTTATGTCTACCGAAGGGGATTGAACCTCGGATTTTAGCATTTTAAGTACGTAAACTTATTATTGACCCATCGGGGGAAGCGGCTTTAATTTGTTTGTTAATAAACACAAAGCTACACAATGTTCTATCTGTGCTGTACCCATCGCAGGTATCGAAACCCGATTTTTAGCGTTATAAGCCCTCAGACTTACCGCTGAGTCACCGGGGGGCGCCTAATTTATTACGGGCCTGTGTCATGACAAAACGCATTAAACTTTAACCCGTCACGTTAGTCATCTTATTTAATTTAGAATGTATCGTCGTGCACGATACAAGAAGTTACATAATCTAACCGTACGTAGAAATACAAATATATATTTGACACTGTTTAAAAACTTCAGCTTGTTTTCGAAAGTTTAAGAATTAAACACGCATAAATTTCTGTTTCTTATTGATTTTTTTCTAACATTTCATTTTTACAGAAGTTAATCATATTTGTAGAAAACCTGTATACTGCAGTGACCTACATACGATAAGTGTTGTACGTCACGAACAAGGCCTTCTGGCGGCAGTCAAGCGAGATTATCTGTATACATGTCTAAGCAACAACTTAGCTTGTATGACAGGTAATTCGAGTTACACATACATTTGTTTTGCTCTTTTTAAGTTTGATTCAAACTTTTACTGCAAACAAATGACATTAGATATTACTGCTATGATTATGCCAAATTCTAAAGTATTGTTTGCTTACTGAATTTTCGCGCAAAGTTACTCGAGGGCTACCTGCGTTTATAGTTCAAGCACAAAGCTACACAGTGGGCTATTTGTACTCTGCCTACCATGGGTATTGAAACCCGGTTGTAAGTCCGCAAACATACCTCCGTGTCAACTCTTGGAATATTCTTTTACTAGCAAAAAAGTAGAATTGACCGTCACATTATTACGTTCCTATATCTAAAATAACGAGCACGTTCAGGGATGGAATTCAAACCTACAACGTGCAAATTGCGAGTCGAGTGCCCTAACCACCAGGCCATGCCAGACCCTAGTTGTAAAGGAAGTGAAATTAAAGCAAAATAATTAAAAGAGTACCTAAGTTTATATAAAATTATCAAAATTTCAGATAACAAGAAAACAGAAAATCAAGTTTGCTAATTTGTGATGCTCGTGATCTTTTTTTTTTTTTACATTTCTCAGTTAAATCAATTATTTATATTAAACGTAATAATGTCGTTAACTGCTAACTTTTTTGTCATCTTATTAAAATGCTTCATTGTACATTGGAGCGTTGTGGGCGTTCAATATATTCGTGAATATTTTGTGTAATAATTAGTAGAAGACTTCGGAACTACTGGTGCCTCAGCGATAAGCTTGAGGGATTATAACGCTAAAATCCTGGGTTCAGGCCCTGCATAGTCCAGGTTGCCCATTGTACAGTTTTGTGCATGATAAATTCTGTCCTATTTAAAACTGTATAAAAAGTTTAATCCAAGAAACATTTGTCCTACACATTTCAGATTTATAACTGTATGTTAGGTTATGTGCTTCGTGTGCTTACTCATTATTACTTTTTAACCCGATAGTCATGATATTTCTAAATTGAATTACTTTAATGACCCGTTATTTGTGATGTTAACTATATTCTACAATGAACTAATTTTTTAATATCATATTCATGAAGTAAGTGTGTTTTATATTGGCTACCTTATTAACCCGTTATTTATGAAGTAACTGTGTTCTACAGTGAACTAATTTTTCATCCCATATTCATGAAGTAACTGTGTTTTATGTTGGATAAGTTTATTTGGTCAATTTTAATAAGGCAATTGCCTTCTATATAGATTCCTTTATTAACCTGGTGTTAATGAGGTGACAGCGTTCTCTACTGGTTTTCTTTATTAACCTGATATTTCTGAGGTAACTGTATTATACTTTGTGTTGGATTAGCTTATTTACCCGATTTTTATCAGGTAATAATTTTATAATGGATTATTGTTATTTACCTGGTGTTTATGTAACAAGGGTGTTCTGTATTGGGGGCTTTAAGGCTATAGATAACATAGTATTAACATCATTTATCAGAGGTAGTGTTTGTTTAGAGATGCTATACAGACTCATTTATCAGAGGCAGTGTTTATTTAGAGATGCTATACAGACTCATCAGAGGCAGTGTTTATTTAGAGATGCTATACAGATTCATTTATCAGAGGCAGTGTTTGTTTAGAGATTCTATACAGACTCATTTATCAGAAGCAGTGTTTGTTTAGAGATGCTATACAGACTCATTTATCAGAGGCAGTGTTTGTTTAGAGATGCTATACAGATTCATTTATCAGAGGCAGTGTTTGTTTAGAGATGCTATACAGACTCATTTATTAGAGGCAGTGTTTATTTAGAGATGCTATACAGATTAATTTATAAAAGGTGTTTATTTAGATTCATATACAAGAGTGGTGTTTGTTTTTGTGCACTTAGATTCATCTACCAGAAGCACTGTTTTTCTGAGATGCTGTTACAAAAGTCATTAAAGAAATAGCAAACATATAGCTCTTAAATTCTTTGCAAACCAGTTAACTTGGAAGGCCTTGATAAATTTCAGAAACTACCAGATGACGTACATTGTTAGATAATTTTATAATTCAGATTTTACAAGCACCAATTCAAAAAGTAAAAGCTCAAAACTATGGAATTTGTATTTAAAAATGCAATGTTATGCTTAAAGTTATAAAAAAAAGTGAAAACCATACTTTTTGAATAAGATATTTTATCGAAAAGACTTTAGTTTTGACAATGTCGGACTTAAGAGGAAACACGAATGTGTCAGAACTTGTATCATTCTTCACCTCTTTTTATGGAATATAGTTTGCTCCAATACGCTATTTTTCTTTTAAGGAATAAAAGATTCCACTCTTATGCTGAGTTCTAATTAAACAATCATGCTTTGTACAGTTTAAGTTATTTTTAAATACATATCACTATGACTGATAATATACGTTCATTATAAGTAATATAACATTGTGAAAAAAATCAATTTTCACGTAAATCTCTAAATTCAAGATCCTACTGTTAGAGTCCAGCAATGTTTCAAAATAGTCCGCATGTAATTCTACCTTTTTCTTCTGATAAGTTTGAAGTTTTTCTAAGTTCAAGTCTATTTGGATAAAAAATTACAACAGGTTTCTTTCAATACTTCTCTTTGTATCATTTACATTGTTTTATTACTACTTGGAGTAATAAGGTGTAAGCACGATAGAACATAATCATGAGGTTCAAAGTATTACATACAGGAATAATTACATGATATAAACTTACCAGAGTATGGGAAGCGCAGTCAGGAGAGTGTAAACTTACTGTGAAAAATAAAATGACAAGAAGTTCACTTTATCATCATTTGAATCACTAAAGTACGTTACAACACAGAAATAACGCTGATTTCTTTTAGAAAAATACAATCTTAAGTATATATATTTTATAAAGATACGCGTAGGGGTCGCTAATATAAATTCCATGAACGGTTATTGGCTTTATATTTAATTAAACATAAAGTCGTTAATGTAAAAATACGTTATAAGAATAACTTATACACTAAAACACAGTAAGTTGCTAGTGTTTTATTTTGTTGTTTACCACTGGTATTATATGCAGAACTTTTACACGTAATGGAAGCAATCAAATGTAGAGTGTTATATAATCTCTAAAGTCAAATAAAATATTTAAATTTAAACATCCTTGCCGGTCTTTAAACAGAATACATACATATTTCAACAAAATTAATTCCAGGAACGTGAAGAATGGTTGATATGGCTTAGGATCATTCTCCAAAGGAATTATTTAAAGTTTAATTTGAATATTTTCATAGTAATCATGGACCCTTTAACTGGATGTGAATGATCAACAGGCTTACATTCGTTTAATGTTTGGTAAATTATAGCTAATTCATAACATCAGTGGTGTTGTGAACTATTTTGTTTTCAGCTAAAGAGTATAGAATAGTTGAATGAAGGACTAAATTAGTTGCCCAAAAAAATAGGATAACTATATTATGATTCCTTTATCATGACTGCGAATAAACATTTCAAATAATGTTCCTCTGATGTGTATGGAAATGCTATTTCTGCTTGTATGCACAGTGTTACAAAAGCAATTATAAAATGAGAAACCATCATCAAAGAAGGGGGGGAAAAGTTTAATAATCGTGAATGGGGGTTTCATCCGCACCCCCCAAACCAACCGTATCTTATATTGTTAATGCTGCTTTTACTCATTCATCATATTTCTTGCTTCTGTAATATAAAGGTAGAAAATACCTTTACAGTGATAGACCGACCCACATAAGGAATTTAACTTGTTTAATAAAGTCACACCCTATCACACCGGTGCGGCTACACAACATGATAAGTAGATGTTACCCCACTGTCCCATCAACAGAAATTGCATATTTCAATGTATAAGAAACGGAATGAAAATGAACGAAGCAGGAAGTATTTTACATCTGATGCACAGTAATATTCTACAATATTGTTTCTTTATGGCAGAGAACTCAAAAGAAAGAAGAAATCATAATGTTTTTTTAACCCTTTTTATAATAAAACACGTGTATTAATTCCAAGTCACAAACTTAAGATGGCGACCTGTATTTTTCAAGTTAAAGTCAAAAGGATACAGATTATAAATTCATTAAAATTCTAAAGTTGCTCTCTCCTCTAATAGTAAGCTATGTTTGCAAGGAAGTAAAACAGGAAGTCTATTAACAGCGTCTTTAAAATTGGAAGAGGTCATTAACCCGTAAAATATGGGTCAGGAGGGAAATGTGACTGTGCTAAATCTATCTAAAGATATTTCATCAGTGTGGGTATCTGCATGAAGTTGGAAAGTTTCATTAGCCTGAGTTGCTTGAGGCGGTTGTAAAATTAAATCAAATTTAAATTAGCTTTCATATCGTGCCTGACGGTCATCCCTCGGGTTCGATTAATCTATTGCATGTTTTAAAGCAACGAGACAAATTTTGTGGTTTGAGATAATTCATAAACATGTATATAAAGTACATGACGTGTAAGATAAAACGTATGTTATTGACAAATACTTCTGAAATTAAATTACCTCTTAACGGAACAAAGTCGTAAATCAACTACTTAGAGTACCACCCCCTTTTTTTTTTAATAGTCACTTTAAAAAGCACTGTTTCCAATAATATTAAAACACATATTTAAACACTTCGCAATTAGAAACCAGCCACACTTCAAATATATAATGATGGTATTAAAGCAGTTAAAATCTAAAATTTTAAAATTGTTACTTGCTGCCTTCACACTTTATATTAGACATTTTAACAATATAATTGATAGGAGTACTAAACAGCTAAATGCCCAACTTGCAAATCCTTAGCCTAGAAGAATCACACGTTAATATATCCACTCTACTTGACCACACAATTACTTTTTTTGTTGTCTTTTTTTACAACAACCAACTGACTCTTCTAAACGATAGTTTTCCTTGTTAATGGGCTTTACCTTCGATGGAAATTTTGTAATGAGTTTTTGAAAAAGAACGAAGTATGTTTATAAGCTAGGGCTGTAGGAAGGGGTAAGGTCAGTCAGGACGTGGACTGGCCACCTTTCAAGGCATGTATAGCTACAACTTATGTATTAAGACTTGCTTCTTTTAACTCAGTACATTGCGATGTGTGTTGTAGCTAAAATGACTCAAGATTCAATCTCATAGATTAAATTTTTAAAACGTTTCTGGAGTGCATGCCCTCAAATTCCCCCTAGAAATGGCAATGGCCTGACCGCTCCAAAATCGCTTCCTGTGGCAACGTAAGCAGACAGTATAATATGACAGCTTAATGACAGTCATAAAAACAATCTTTGACACGCTATAAAAGTTGAATTGTAAGAAATAGTTAACTAGATGTTATACATAAACACACATTGTCAATCGAAACAGTTGATTAAAAGAAATGAATTCATTATTAACAAGTTTGTTTTTAATTGCTCTGGTTTATAAAAAACAAATGGTACAGTAATTTTTGTTTTATATATTGCTCCCAACGTTTCTAACGGCAATGGCTTACTCATCAAGGAGAAATAACAAAACATACAACAAACGTACTAAAGTTTCAAAATTAAAATGATCACACGACAAATTAATAAAGCGCCATTACAAATCCTAAGAACAAGGTTATGAAAGGAAAAGTTATTTTTTTTAATATATAAATATATAACCATAAAACATACAAGTTTCCACCTGTGGCTACTAATAACAAAACCTTGGAATCTTCAGTTTTTTTTTTCTCTTTTTTATTAATTTCTTCTACCGGTTTCTTGATTTCAAAAGCCACACTTTGGGATGCAATTTTATAGACAATCTATGATAAATACGTTCAAAAACCACTTTTCAACTCAACGTACATAACCTGAATCAAATACATATTTTCAAAAGGCTCAAATATAAAATACAATCCTTATATAAGTATCATACATTGAAATATACTTTAAAGTAAATTAGTTTCAGATTATCAAATATACATTCCCTTCTTTTTTATTCCTATATCATTTTCATTTGTATTAAACTTATCTTCTGTTATTGTATAAAAGCAGCTGATTTACATAATATTTAATAAAAAAATGTACCTCTTATTTATTTTATTGTCCTTTTTGTGATTCCTAGGAGAAAAATTAATAAAGAAGAAATCAAACAAAAGAGTTTGCGGATTGTAGTGTTTTGTCATATTTACATACATAAACTAGGTCCATTATCGCGACTGAGTTTAATCTAGGGGTTACAAATCTGTCATAATTCAAGAAATTTAACCCCCCCTGTTTTACATGCTGATTGTGCTTCGCACAGTATGTGTTGGTTTTTGATCTCACAAATTAGAACCACCCTTTCAAACATTCTGCATACGAGCCTGCTAGAATATTCGAAAGTATTTTATATATACGAGATAGTGTAGAGGATTTTCAAGACAAAAAGTGAGTCTGTCAGTATGTTAGCTATCGCGGTTACTTTAAAGAGGCAAGTGTATTTGTTTACTGTTAGTTGATGTGTAACGTAGGCCTACAGCAAGTTTACGGCAGTACAAGTGTTTTAGTTTGTAGGAAGGTTAACGTAGGAAATAAACTTATTCGTTATAGTTTACTTGGACTTGAGTTTGAATTATTTTCAATAGATAATTTTAAAAACTCGCCAACGAATGAACATGTTATAACAATATGCTTATTTTTGTGAATTATTTTATATTCTGAAATCTTAACTAGTGATTTGTTGAGCCAATATCAAAACATCTAATCTTATTACGCACAACTCCAGCCTACAATAAGATATCAAGAGGTATCTTTGGAATATCATTTGTACTCTTAATAGCTTTAATACGGTTCTTATATTAAATGGTTTAAAATATTATTTTTTTCACAAATTTACTAACAAAAACTGCATGTTGCAAATATTTATAAATACGATTACCCACCCATCCGATCAACTTTAACACTTAGATACATAAAAATATTGAATTCCTTTGGAATAAATTGTAACTATGAAGTGTTCAAACAGTATACGAAAGGTTTGTTTATTATGAATTTCGTGCAAAGCTACAAGAGGGTTATCTGCACTAGCCGTCCCTAATTTAGCAGTGTAAGACTAGAGGAAGAGCAGCTAGTCATCACCACTCACCGCCAACTGTTCGGCTACTCTTTTACCAACGAATAGTGGGATTGACCGTCACTTTATAACGCCCCCACGGCTGAAAGGGCGAGCATGTTTGGTGAGACGGGGATTCGAACCCGCGACCCACAGACTGCGAGTCGAGCTCCCTAACCACCTGGCCATATACGAAAGAAAACTTCTATATTGTGCTTGTATATACAAACTTTTAATTATTTTTATCGCGAACCGTAGTGTGAGGCTGTTTAGCTTTACAGTTAGGCCTAGCACTAAGGTTCTCTTCACCTTGTGATGTTATAAGTTGAAATTCTAAATCACGTTGCACAAAAACATTATATTCTGTAAGCTATAACATGTTAATAGTCTGTATACATGTACTTTTCTTTTTCTGGTATAGAAAGATACTCAACGTGAACTTGTATCATAGCAAACATTTTTCCTGTAAAAGTATTTAACATTTTTTAAAAAGATAAACTCCCGTCTTATGTCAGCAGTAAACACAGGGCAAAAATATGATTTATTAATAAAAACTGAAATGAAACACTCCAAAGATTTTTAAGTTTCATATAACTGTAATTATGAGTTGCAAAGCATTTTTAAAACCGTGAACTCTAAACTTTCCAGAATATAGAATAATTTTCTAAGACAGAAAGTTTTGCTTTTTTTTACAGTTCTTGTCGTGCTATGTAGTTATAACTAGCATATGTAAGTTCCAGCTTTATACTCCATATGATTTGTAAACATATTACTCAATAAACTACGACATGAACTTCATTAATATGTAATTAGAAACCCTTGTTGTTTTCCAGTGCTAAACCAACCAGTAACTAAATGAACGTTTGTTTTATATATCCATCGTTTTGTCTACAAATTAATAACGTTATTTCTTCTAAGTTTAATAAGTAGAACGAATCAAAGTAAGATATGTTTGATGTATGTCTCTGAAATGAAATAAATTAACATACAAAAAGATTTTCAAGATCTTCTAAAGTGAAAATGTTTAATTAGCCATATTAAACATAGCCTACATATTTGAACACAACTTATTTCACCAAATTACCACTTGGAGGTCACCTTCATATATAGGGTACAGGTTCCAATTGTCTGGTCCAAACAGATAACCAACTACGACCTTGTATAAAACCAGTCTTAAGCAACTATTTAATATACCGGGAACTTACGAAAGAACGTGTTGTAACTGGATTATGCTTCCATCAAAAACTAGTTATTTCATTCACAAAATAAATTTTAAAAATCACCAGTTAGTTGCCAACCTCTTCAGCAACACTCGTTTAGTGACATTTATATATACGTCTAGTAAATCATAATTTCTCTGAAATTTCCTGAATGCAAAGAATAGATTTTAAACATTTAAATAGTCCACCTGTTAGAGTGAAAAACATTTCGTTTTGGTTAAGTTTTAATCATACTCTTTAATCTTAACCGAAAAATGGGACATATTACGCACTTGTATCGATATATTTTATGATCATTAATTTATTTGCTAATATTCATATTTAACCATTTTGAAAATTCAGAGAAAAAACTCAATAACAATCAATATTTTTCTCTTGGATTTAGGCTTAGCTTAAACAAATAAAATCTAATTTTTACGATAATATTCTAAGTATCCACTTTAAGAGAAATATGTTTTTAGTCTTTTTTTTCAAAATAAGTTTATAATAACCATTAAAAAAACCTTGAAAATACGTCAAAGTAATGTAAGTTGGTCAATATTTCAAAGTGGGCATTACGGGGATGATTTCGTCCTTTTGTTGAAATTACTGTAATCGATAACTCTATCTCCATTTCACAGAATTATTGTAATCCTTCACTTTATATGAGATAGATTTGGTTCTGTTTTGCTTTATGTTTAATGTAGTGTAATCAATATAATGATAAAGAAGTCAGAAAAGGGAATAAAATCACGTGTGTCCAACGTCCAGTAAGCCTTTAGATAAGAAATGACCTTTTGATCAGACTAACGCTGTTCAGCAACAATGGCGAAAGTTCAGGAAATAATACTCATTAATATGTAAGCATGTTTCACAAAGTACCTATTTATCACAACTGTTCTCCAAATAAATATCGATACAATGAGTTCTTCTGAGCTGGAAATATCGTATCCTAATTTTGTGAACCTGAATGTAATGGTTTGAGTGATAAAATTGATAGCTGTGTGACACTATTATTCATTAAAGCTAGCAATAACACAAAACACACTGTTCTTTATTTGTCTAATAAATAGTTGACAGGAAATACTTTGAATAATATAATTTACAGTTCTTAGATTTCCTATTTTAAAACATCTATATTATTGAGAACTAAACTAAAATCTAATTATACTGATTCCTAATGACTAGTTAACGAGATTATAACGAGCGGCTTTTGTGTAAGTAATTACTAATCATAGTGTTCATACCTCATTAACAAAATTAGGAAAAGTGATTTTTTTATAAAAAAAACGGATATTTTCTGGGAAGTACTGCACGGGAAAAGTTTTCGGATTGTGCTCTTTAGTCATACGCAACTTATTGCATCAAAATGATTCAATATAAATACCTCAAAATTTTAAAATTAAACTGATGTAAACTGTAATGATTTTAATTATTAAAAGTGATACCGTTTATTGATTTTTTTTTAAGAATTCCACTTTCTCAGTACAACATTTAAAAATTACACCAATAAAGATATAATCAAACCCTCACGTACAGTCCTAGTGAAAGTCATGTTCTTGTTGTGGGGAAAGTATTTTTATTTAAAATTGTGTTCTATTATAAAGAAATGGTTGTTGCACATACTACAGTTATTTTTCTAATTGTCTGGGAACTTTTTTTGTTTGTGGTGCCATTCAATAGATGGCGCAGGAGTTTTAGTTACACTCCCAGATGACATGCACTACGTCCATTATAGTAAGTTTAGCAGAGGGTAGTAGCACCCCTATAATATAAGGAAGTGACTATCTCCATGTCTTGGGACGCATAATTTTCAGAAACGTGTATTTAGTTTTAAATCGTAATTTTTGAAACACTGTAGTATCGAGTTGAACAATACGTTGTTTAATAACCAATCCAGACATATGCTAAAACATCATATACTAAATGACCCTATTCATGCAGCGTTCGTAAATATAACACTACATTTACACCACCAGTTTTAATAATTTTTATAGTAGTATATTAGCACAAAATTCATGATATATAAAAGTGTTTTGCGTATAAACTTGCTACATTTAACGACAGTAGCTTTATTAATTTTACTGTTCAAACAATATTGTTAAGATGAAAACCGTGCAAACAAATATATACAATAAACAATAAAATTTTCTTCGACAAATTTATCTATTTTAATAAAAGTTATTTTTTTTCTATAAAGGCAAACAAAATCGTTTAAAATCAAAAGTGGGCATGTTTTATATGTACATATATGTGTGTGTGTGTGTGTGTGTGTATGAACAAAATAGAATTTCTAATTAGCAGGAAATTGAATTTTCTGCAAAATATATTATTTTTATAGTGACGTTCTGCATCTTAACGATAAGATATATCTACGCTGTATGTGATAATTACTTTAAAAACATAAAATCGTAGAAAATAAAGAAACAATTTAAACTAATAATCCCCAATATTTAATTATTCGTAAAAACAGATACATTTCTTTAAGCACTTACTTCTTTTTAGGTTAAAAGAAACGAACTTGTTAAGAAACTCCTAACGCTGGAGACCTACATTAAATGAATTCCTAGAATGCCAAGAACCAACACGATCCCATTTCTCAGAAATGTTTAAAGCAGTGGTAATTTCGGATTTTTTGCCGAGTCGGCAATTTCAGAAAATTTGTAGAAATAATTAATATGTTTTATGTATTCAATTTATGTATAATTTTTCCTTAGTTGCAAAGAACAATTTAATGATCTTAACCTTACCTGTATACAGAAGCGTTACGAGGAGAAGCCGAACATACACATAATTGAAGAACATGGTCTACACTGCTCAAAGATCTACAGGTAAAAGAGACTGTTGAACTCAGTTCTCTACAAACCTGTATGGCGATCTGGCGTCTTGGACCTCCAGTTAAAACGAGGCAAGCTCGCCCTACGTAAGGTGTTTTTCGACTGACCTAGTTTTCTTTCGCTGTGAGCAAAACAACCTTTACTGTTTGTATGTATTTCTACACTATAACAAAAATTTAGTTACAGTAAAATATTTAGCTGCCGTTTTGTAATCGAGCGTAAGAGTTAATTTTAACAGAGAAATATTTCGTTGGTGGGGTGGGACAAAGGAGTATTGTAAAATAATTCTCGAGTTCTTTCTGGTACAGTAACAAGTTTAATAGAATAGACATTTGTTTCAGCTACCTGGTGCACATCTAGAATTGTCTAGACCTTATCAATGAACTGAAGAATTAAGCATCAAAAACATGGATGATCAGATTGTGTGCTTGAAATAAATTTGTAAATTATTCTTACTCTAGCTACCCAAATAATGTTTAACCAAGTAAGCGTCTAATGTAGGCAGTCTGTGACTAAAAAGTATTTATATCCCATGACAAGTTATGCCTCAACCTGCCAACTACTCCCAATGGCTCGGCGGGAAAGCCTAAGGGCTCACACTGCTAAAACCGGGTTTCGATACCCGTGGTAGGCACCACACAGATAGCCCCTTCTGTGGCTTTGTGCTTATAAAAGAAACAAAACCTGCATTTTTGGTGAAATAAAAATTAAATTCAGTTAGGCTTATCATGCTTAATCATAAAATAATTGTAAACTAGGCTTACTAAATTAGAAAAAAAAAACAACAGGAAGAATAGTGTACGTGTAACTGTTATAAGTCTGTAAACGTTACAATGAATAACCTTACAACAATATATCAGTTGGATGCAGTTGAAAATTATTAGAGCAATCCAAAATATGTTGACTAAACAATGAAATGTTCATGAGTCAGCTAATAGACAGTATTTCTATTTAACAAATCATATTTTTAAATAGACATATCGTTGTTCCTTGCCCCCCATTGGCACAGTGGTATGTCTCCGGATTTACAACGCTAGAAACCGGGTTTTGATACCCGTGGTGGGCAGAGTACAAATTGTGTAGCTTTGTGTTTAACTTCAAACAAACAAACCGTTGTTCCTTAAAGTTTTAACTAAATCAGTAATTTATATTCTAATTAAAATATCGTCTACATTTCCAGAAAATAAATGTCTTATCATATTCTCCACTTTTCAGATCCTAGCAGCCAAATTAAAATGCAAAAAAAAAAAGAAAATCTTAATTGAACAGTCTCACGCTGTGTCAGTGGAAGAGACAAAGTCGGCGAATTTATGATATTGTGCAAGTGTTTTTGAAATGTTACATAAATGCTTGTAAACAGACAAAATTATTCATTAAAACAAAACAGATAAGACAAGTTGGAATCACTAAAAATATTGTGGACGGAAGATGGAGGCACATTGGATAAAGTAAATGCCTACATATTCATAAACACATACATATGTGTATGTATATTTACATATGTAAGTTAAGTACCTAAAATATAAAATTTGAAGTACACCTTCAATTGAATTTATGTTTGTCTCATTATGGGTCTATTTCAATATGATTATTCGATGACGAGGAGCCCACTTTGAGACTAATAATGGCTGGAGACGGCTTGAATGGGTAATGAAGAAAAACTTTAATATAACAGCAAATGTACAACGTTTCGACAAGGTTTTGTCATCATCAGGTACAAGTAATTTACACTGACACGGATATACATATACAGTATCAGTGTAAATTACTTGTACCTGATGATGACAAAACCTTGTCGAAACGTTGTACATTTGCTGTTATATTAAAGTTTTTCTTCATTCCCCATTCAAGCCGTCTCCAGCCATTATTAGTCTCAAAGTGGGCTCCTC